GGCGGGGGCGGCGGCGGGGGCGGTGCTGCTCCGGGAACCGGCTCTGCTGCAGGTGGAAGATCTGAGCTCAGCAAGGAACAGGGAGAAGGAAAGGGGTGTCAACTTCGTGACCTGGGTGGTCTCGTCTCCGCCTCCCCGCCTTATGCATGTGCACTGGGCCCATTCCGCACCTACCTGAGCCACGCCCACAACCCAAACCTACCTCTCCCGGCCCGAGGTGTCCCAGGCTCCCGCTCCAGCCCTGGTTCCCCCCGGCCCCACCCCACCCAGCTTGAAGTTCCTGTGCACCTGGGCTGGGGGAGCCAGCGGGCACCGTTGGAATCGGGGCATCACTGCCGTTCGGAGTTGCCACAGCGACCGGGAGGATCTCGATGGAGACAGCATCCCCGGGCCCCCGCAGGATACGGATTAACCCCTTCTCCTGCAGCTCCTCCACCTTCAGCTCCAGGGCCGAAGGCCGCGCCGGGACGTGGGCAGGCACTTTCTCAGGCTCCGGGGGATGCCTGGACGCGCTCAGGGGGGTCGACTCGTTGAAGCGGTCCTGTGAGCCCCGGGGGAGGAGGGGTCAGTGCCCACCAGCAGGCCTGGCACAGAGCCCCCGTCCTCTTGCCCTGGTGGAGGGAGGTGTCAAGCCAGAAGCCCCTAGTGGTCTGTTGTGAGCTCGGCCCGACCCTGGCCCGGCCCGACCCGACCCTGGCCCGGCCTATGGCCCCAGCCTCACCCGCAGGGTCTCCAACTCCTTTCGGGCCTGGCTTAGTTGCTTTTCCAGCTCTGCGATCTTGGCCATCGATTCGTTCTCCGCGTCCCGAAGCCGCTCTGTCAGCTGTGGCACCCGCACATGGTGAGCTCCCACCCGCGGCCGGGCACTGGCGCCGCCGCTGAGGGGGCGGCATCAGGCATGCCTGCCTGGAGGGCTGGGGGAGGCTTCCGGATGTGCTGAGCCCAGGGTGCCGCGGGCGGGGGTGGGCGGAGGGAGTGGTGGGCCTGGCACTTGAACCCAAGGAGGTGAGGCACTGAGGGCAGTAAAGTTCTCTCAGGAGGGGAAACCAAGGCACCACTGACGAGGGAGGGAGGTGGAGAGGAAACTGAGCTGGGAGGGGCCCCAGGCAGCCAGCTCCACCCAAATCAGGGCCAGGGGTCGGAGCGCCGGGAGAGGAGGAGCCTGCCTCATTGCAAGAGACACCCAAAGCATACAGGATTTGGATTCAGGCCAAACTCATGGGCCAGACATCCAGCCACCCCCTGTTCACACGTAGAACCCCAGTGTCTGATGCCAGTGTGGGGCCCTTGGGCCTACTATGTGCTGGGCCAAGTTCAGGAGCGGCTCTCACCAGGGTCACCTGCTCCTGCAGCTCGTCCATGTGCTCCAGCACAGCATGCTTGGTCTCAGTTTCCTCCAGCAGCGTGCCCACATCAAACACGTTGTCCAGGTATGCCTGGATCTGCACCTGCAGCTTGTCACTCTCCGTGAACCGAAGCCTCTGTCCCGGGACGGAAGGTGCAGGGTGAGGCCCGGTGTGAGAGGTCTTTCCAAGCCCCGCCCCCTCACCACCAGAGCCCAGAGGAAGGGGCCCGAGCCCCAGCCCACTTTTGTTGTCTTTATCTTTTATTGAGATATAATTCACATACCATAAAATTCACTATTTTAAAGTGTACATTCAGTAGTTTTTAGTGTATTCACAAGGTTATGCAACTATTACCACTATCTAATTCCAGAACATTTTCATCACCCAAAAAGAAACCCTGTATCTGTTAGCAGTCACTCCTCATTCTCTCCTCCCCCAGCCCCTGGCAACCACCAATCTACTCTCTGTCTCTATGGATTTACCTGTCCTGGACATTTCAAATAAAGGAATCACACAATATTTGGCCTTTTGTGTCTGGCTTCTTTCACTTAGCATAATGTTTTCAAGGCTCATTCGTGTGGAAGCATGGATCAGTACTTTGTTCCTTTTTTATGGCTGAATAATATTCCATCGTATGGATGTATCATCCTAGCCTGTTTGTCATCTTTTGTTAACCCTGGCTTTCAAAAATCCCATCCCAAAGGCCCCACTCCTCCAGGAAGCCTCCCAAAGAAATCAGGGAAGAAATATGCAACTTCTCAGCTCAGGCTGGACCAGGAAGCACCAAGTCCCTCTGCCCACCTTCCCTGGGGCAAGGAACTCCTCCATGAGCTGTACCCGTCCAACATGAGCTGGGTCCCACTTTGGTCCAGTTATTCTGCACTCCCCATTATGTGCTCAAGTCAGAGCACCTGTCTGAGGCTGATGCTCCCAGAGCCAGGCCCACGGCCACCTAGAGCCTGTTCTAGTGCCACAACAACAGCTGCAGGGACTGGCTGCCTGTTATGCAGTAGGCACCATTCTATACACGGAGAGTCATTGTTTCTATAATTCTCTTATTCTACAGATGGAAAAACTGAGACTCAGCGAGAAGAACAGACCTATCCAAGGTCACATGGGCTAGGAAGTAGCAGAGCCAGGATTTGAACCCAGCTCTGCCTGACCCCAACACCCATGCTGCTAACCACTGAGCCATACCCTGCAGTGGGCGAGTGGTTAAGTCCAGGGGCATGCAGGGCTCACCTCCAAGTACAGGTCCAGGCCCAGGTGGGTGAACTCGTATTGCAGGAAGACACGGAAGTTCATGTTCTCCACTGAGTGGACCACGATGTTGATGAACTGCATGCAGGCCACCTGGGGAGCAGGAGCCATAAGCAGGTCTGTGATCCTCCAGGTGGGGGGTGCCCAGTGCCTTCTACCCCCCATTTGCCCCCAAGTCTCCCTCCCTCTCCACATTTCTCACTCCACTAACCCAGCTTTGTCCCTACCCATATTTCTCCCCCATGTCCCCTCCCTCCGCTTCCCCTCTCTGATATCCACCCCTCCCCCACCAAGTACTCAGTCCTCATGCTTTGCAGGGGCAGAGCCCAGACCCCAGATCCCCGGGCCCCTAGCTGCTCCTTGCACCGAGAGTGGCCCGGCCCAGCCTGGGCTCCTGAGCTCACCATGAAGTCGATATTGCTGTCCTCGTTCCGGAAATATTCCATCAGCTTTTCAAAGCGGTGCTGCTCCCCACACACCTGGGGGGGCGGGGGAATGGCTGTCACTGAGGGCACTACACATCTCCTAAGCCATCTTCCAGCTGCCACCCTTGTGCCTCTACAGGCTCCTCTCAAGTTAAGTCTGAGTCAGGCCATGTCACTCTTTGGCTCAAAACCTCTGCTCTCCATCTCTCACATGGCCTTCCCTCTCACTTGCTCCACTCTGGCCACACTGGCATCCTGGCACATCCCACCTCAGGGCCTTTGCACCTGCTGTTCTACCTGCCTGGTGTGCTCCTACTTGAGATGGCCACCACGCCAGGTCCCTCACTTTCCTCAGATCTCACCTTCTCCATGAGGCTTCCCTGACTACCCTGCCACCAGTTCCCCCTCCCCCTCCAGCGGCCCTGACTTTTTCCCCATAGCATTTAGCATTTTCTTACACACTACGTAATTTGCTTGTTTACTACATGTTTATTACCTGTCTTCCCTGCCTTCTTTGTTTCTTTTGCTCAGTGATGTATCCCAGTGCCCACTCTGTCCCTGATGCGTAGTAGGCCCTCAGTAAATAGTCATGAAAGGAATGAATGCCCGTATCCTGCCTCATGCCTCATATTCTCAAGCATTTACTTCCCGTGAGCCTGTTAACCAGAGTCACGACTCCGAGATGTGCGGAGCAAGTCCAGTTTGGATCTGGCACTGAGGGTCAGAGGCTCAGCAGATCCACGTGCTTGTCCCTGTTGCCCCAGGCAGTGCCCCCATGTGACCCTGTATCTTCCCTTCAGAGCTTCCCCACCCCAGATTGTCCCACTCAATGTCCCCAGCTGCCCCCAGCAGAGGCCACAGCTGCCAGCCACAGGGCTCCAAGCAGCATTAGAGGGCAAGTGCACGTTTGGGTGGGGGGCTCCAGTACCTCCTTGAAGTTGTCAAAGGCTGCAAGGATGATGTCGTGCCCTCCCCGCACCAGGCACACAGCCGCTAGCAGCTCCAGCACCAGAGCCTTGGTTCTGGGGAGAGAAGGGGCAGGTTGTCCCTTGAGAACAGGCCAGCCCCACAGCAAGGGTGGACGTGGGCCTGGCTGGGGGAGGACAGGGGAGCTGATGGGGGTGGAATAAGGCTGGGCAGTGGTCCTGAGAACTGGGGGACAGAGTAGGCAATGGGTTAAGTAGGAGGAGAATCTGGATGTAGAGGCCTGGATCTCACCTGGGGTTCTTGTTGTTGAGGCTCAGAGCAATCTCATTGACACAGGCTGGGTGGTTCATGACGAGGCTGAAGCCAGACTGGGGAGAGAGGAGAGGTCAGCTCCTCCAGGTAGACCCCCAGGACTGCCCACCCCCTCCTACCCAGCATCTCCCATATTGTCAGCACCATGCCACTCTGCTCTTTAACTGCCCTCAAGTTTAGGAAGTTTTTTATATCCAACCACAACCTCTTCTGCAGCAGCCAAAGCCTGGTCCCTCGTTTTAAATACTTCTGTTCAAAAGCCAGTGTCAGGACTCAGCACCTTGGACACAGTGAGTTCTCAGAGGCCAGCTAAGTGAGGGAGGGCGGGCTTCACCCACCACTCCTCCAAACGAAATAACCCAGAGCTGATCTCCCCGTGGGCCTGGTGGCCAGCCTTTCTTGGTAGGTGTGCCTAAGTCCCCCCTCAAGGCATATCCATGCCCCCAGCCATGTCTGGGGGACTCTAGGGGTCCCGACCAGGAGTGGGCAGAAATCTGGGCTTCCCCTCAACACTCATCAGCCCTAAGACCCTGAGCCAACAGCTCAGATCCCCAGGGTCCCCCAGTGGGGGACTGGGTCGGGGGACAGCTGGTCCTAGAACTTCACCAGCTCAGGCAGCCCCCAGTGAGGACAGGCAGGCTCCCGGATCCCTCAAACCCCCGCGCCCAGCGGCCAACCTGGTAGTTCATGATGGCGCGCAGGCACATGATGCAGACGTGGACGTCGTCCTTCTGGCTGACAATGCGGGAGTTCCGCAGGGTCTTCCTGCTGTGGACTGGGGTCAGCCTGGGCCGGGTGAGGAGGAGGCAGCAGGGCTCAGAGTCACAAACCAGCTTCCCCTTCCCCCCACCACTCAGATGGCCTCTGGAGTAAGAGGGGACACATCTGGAACCTCAGGCCACTGCTTCCCATCTACCCAACCAAAGAGGCCAGCTGAGTGCAGGAAGCCTTCCTCAGTCCCTAGGCCCGGGGCCTGGCCTGCCGCGGAGGAGGTGGGGAGGGGGCCAGGAAAGCAAAGACCCTTAACAGCGACCTGGCATTGAAAAGGGTTGCTGTGTTGCAGTGATGGACAGCCTATGGAAGGAAAACACAGCCAATGCTTGGAAACCGCCATGGAGATGGTCTCCACAAGGTGGCGCTCAGGGCCATGCGGGCTTATCTTCCATCTTGAGAGGTGACTGAATTCAGACTGCCTTGGTTCAAATCTCAGCTCACCACTTACTAGGCAAGTTACTTAATCTCCCTGTGCCTCAGTTTCCTCATTTGTAAAACAGGAACGGTAATAATAGTACCTTCCTAATAGGGTTGTTGGGACTATGAAATGAGCTTAGAACGTGCCTGACACAGAGTGAGTGCTTTATGAGTGTGCTTGATAATTCTTTGCTCAAAGATAGGTGATTTTTTCTATTGTTGCAGAACTGCCAATCATGACTTCCACATCAGGTCTTCTTGACAATTCTATCACATTTCCAACAACACTGGGAGGCCCCACCACATCCCCTTTCTCCCATCATTGCTCAAATATGCTTCCCTGTCTTTGCTCATGCTGTTCCTTCTGCCTGGAATGCCCTTCCCCTTCCCCATCACTGCCTGTAAAGCCCATATCCATCTGCAGGACATAGTTCCATCTCTTCTGGGAAGCCTTCCTGATGCCCCAGGCAGTGGCCACCTCCCTTCTCAATGTTCCCAGTCACACCTCCATGACAGCCTGTCACACACTGTCCCTTGCTAGACACTGGGCTCCCAAGGGCAGGGTAATCTGTCTCCTGAGCACCTGCCACCACGCCTGATACACAGTAAATGCTGAAAAATGCTTGTTGAATGAATGAATGAACAAAGAAGCATATTGTGAGAGTTTCAGGCTTAATATGAAGTTGGTCCCCTAGACCCAAAGTGGGAAGGGAGGAAGCTGGGGGTCCACATGAGGCTCCAGGGCCATCTTCTTCCCTCTCCCCGCCTCCCACCTAAATGCCCTAAGTTAGAGTGGGGTGACCTGACCACAGCAGCTGAACCCAGGGATGTCAGTTGAACGCCTCACCAACCCCACCACCACCCCGGGAGCCGACCAGGCATGCACCTGCCCCCAGGTGGCTACGTACCGGGGAGAAGGGGGGCACCTGGAGGCCGCGTGGGAGAAAACAGGGGGTTAGACGGGTATAAGAGGGGTTCCACCGACCCAGAAGCCCCCTCCTTATCTCAGACCCACTCAGATTCCAGCCTCTAGGTGCCCACCCCAAAGGCTCCTTAACACACCCATCTCCCGAGCCCTGTTTGAGGCCTTTACTCTGACGCCAATGCCAGGCTACCCCTCCCACCACCCCCAAGTACCCGGGGTGGGGCTGGCTGCATGCAGTGGTCTAGGGGGCAATTTGCCTTTCTCCCTGCCGCCCCGCCATGGGGCCCACATACTTGATGGTCAGGTGGCGACTCTTGGGCTGTGATGGCAAAGATGAGGGTGGACTCTTGTTGAGATCTTCCACCGACTGCTCCAGCAGCTTGCTCTTCTCCGGGCTGGGGGCCCCATTGTCTGTGCTCTCCATGTCATACCTGCCGGGGGTCAGAGTGGCCCACACTGCAGGGGCTCGTAAGAGAGGGGTGGGGGAAACTGAGGGCAGACAGCTCTGCAGCAGAGACCAGGCAGCGGGAGGAGGAGGCTGTGTTCTTAGCACTGTGCTGGGCATAGAAGGGGGAGAGGGCACAGTGGAACAGAGGAGTAAGCCACCCAGGCCCCAGCTGGCCACCGCAGGCCATGTCCCTCCCTGTCCATGGCAGGCCTTCAGGAAGGGGCATTGCTCAGGGCCAAGTGCAGGTTCTAGGGTGGGCTCTGGCTGCACTGCATGGAAGTGGCCCGAGTTGTGGGCGAGGCACAGGGAAGTGTGGATCAAGGCTCTGAGGAGCAGTAGGAGGCCAGGGCAAGGGGCTTACGTGACAGAGCACTGGGCAAAGGCCAGGTACTCAAGGAGCACATCCAGGCCGCGGTTCTCCTCGTTGAGGAACTCCTGCACCCACCTGCGGGCACAGGGCTCCCTCAGTTCCAGCCGGGCAGGAGGTCCCACCCGGAGTGGGCACAGAATAGGCATGGCAAGGGCTCTGGGGTGCCCTTCCCCCAGGAAGACAGCAACCAGCCCCAGCCTCAGAAGACCCAGTGACGCTAGGGGATGCTAGCGGGCTTGGGCAGGACACACGGCCCAGCCACCCCTCAACGGGCAGGCAGAGAGTGGGCAAGGGAGGAGGCTGGGACACTATCCTGACACCCACCCCACCCCGGAAGTGGCCCACAGCCACAGTCTGTGTGGAGGAGGAAGGCCACAGGAAGGGGAAGCCCCAGGAGTTGCCTGGAGGCAGAGGTCTCCTAGGCCCCCGGAGAGGGAAATCTGAGTCCTCGCTCACCCAATGTGGTTTGTTCTCAGGGAGATCTCCAGCTCCCGCAGCACCTGCGTGGACTCCTGAACTCGCCTCTTAAACTAGGGGCCAAGAACAGGGGAGTCTAGTGGGCGGAGACCAGGACTCCACAGGCCTGCCGAGCCCTGAAGCAGCAGCCAGCAGTGCCTGCTCTCCCCCAACAACTGGCCTTTCACGCGTGGCCTCCCCCACCACCTCCACACACCTGCATGCCAAATAAACATTCTCAGGCTACGCACACTCCCCCACACACAGACACGCAGGATGCACACACACACACCCATGCACAGACATGAAGGGTGCACACACATACCTCCACACACAGACATACAGCATAGACACACACACACACGCACATCCATACACAAGCACTCTGCATACTCAGATATAAGGTACCCACACATCCTTGGGGTACACACACACACATACCCCCCTCCTATACACGGACTCACGGGTACACACACACATCCATATGTGAACACAAAAGTACACACGTAGTACCTACACGCACACCCATGCATGGGCACACAGGGTGCACACATGCACACACTCTATACAAGTACACACAGTGTACCTGTGTAAGCACAGACAGGATATGCAGAGGAACCCGTAAAAGTGCATGCCCGGGGCACTCAGTCCCCTATAAACACACACACACTCACACAGGTACCCACACAAGCCCACAGAAAAGTTTACACATCCAGTTACTCCAGCTGCCCGGAGGCTGGAGAGTGTAGGGGGAAAGGGGCAGAGAAAACGGGGGAGACATGTACCCCCAGGTTGGACATCCAATCAGCCGCTACCTTTCGGCCAACCCCACCGGTTTCCAGGTAGCTCCTCAGCTTCTGGATGTAGGCTGCGGGGGGGTTCTTGACTTGAAACCGCTCCTGGGGAGATGGAATGGGGTGTAAGGAGAACCAGCAAGGGCAAGTGACGAGCCCCTGTCCCACTGTCCCATTCTAGCTCTGACCCAAGGCCCCAGGCTGCTTAAGACCCCTGTGAAGCACCAAAGGCATACACCCAAACAACCCGCCAGGCCACTTTAAAAGACCCAGGTCCCGGGCCTCGCCTTCCCTCCCCACTACGGCCTCACAGGCCACAGCCCTAGCACAGCCTTGGGGTGGAGTATGGAGGGGTCAGTGCTGCCATACACCCCGCCCTGGGGCAGGGGGGCTCTCAGGCCAATAGGTGGCACCCTCCCAGCCCCTTGTCCTTCGTGAACCACAGCCCAGCCCAGAGCTGGGAGTACAGGGAGGAAAAACACTCTAGAGGGGCCTTATGAAGGGGCCCACTCCTTGGCAGGCTGAGGGCCCCTTCCCCAGGGCTCCACCTCGGCCGTCCTGCCCACCTGTGTTGGTGGGCACCTGTGTGTGTGCTCATCTCCTGTGCTCCACAAAGCAACTCCTCACTCCCCCGCCCCACCCAGGCTCCAGTAGCCACTCACACAAAGAGGCAGAGGCCACATCAGAGGCCCCCTACCCAGAGGAGCTCCCATCCTTCCCAACCCTGACCCCTCAGACGTGCCCAGCTACCCCCTCAACCTCCCACTTCTCCCAGGCCTTTGAGCCCCCAACCTGAGATGCCAGGCCAAGCAGCAGGGACCCCTATAACAGCCCCGATGCCTCTGGAGGCAGCTCCCCACCCTCTCCCCACAGCCCTGCCCTTACCCCTAGACTCCTGCCCTGCCGGCTTATCCCATCCTGGTCCATTAGCAGGAGTGGAAGGCCCAGCCCTGACTCCCAGGGGAGGCTCTCTGCTCCCCAACCCCCCACCCCCAGTCTCCACAGCCACAGGCCTGCCTCCCTCCCTCACTGAATCTCTGCATAGCCAGGCCCCACCCTGCCCCGGCAGCGGGAGAGGGGTCCTCCCTGCCACCACAGACAGCAGCCCTGGAGGCTAGAGGGGCAGGGGGCAGCCAAGTGAGCCAGGAAGGTGGCAAGCCCAGGTGCCTGACGGAGCACGGGGAGATGGGGGTTCCAGTCCCTGCTCTGCCACTTGGGAACTGGTTGACTTTGGGGAGCTGGTTGACTTTGGGTTGACTGCAGTTCCTCTGGACCCGAGATAAAAAGAGGGCAGGGATTCCCGCCCCTTCCTTCCCACCTCCCATGGGGTCAAACAAAGATGTCCAACCCTGGGGCTGCCCGGTCTCTTCCCCAGCCCAGAGCTGGAGGGTCAACAGAAGCTACTCCAGGAAGCTCAGCCAGGAGGATGGTGACACAGCCCCAGCTGCACTGGCCAGTGCCCTAGACTGGCCCCTGCCAGCTCTTTGGAGGGCAGACCCAGTCTTGCTCATGACTCACAAGGTCCCTGGGGAGGCCCACATCCAGGAGAGGGGATTCCAGAGTCATGCAGGCACCCCCAGCACCCTCCCCAGATGCTGCACTGGCCTCTGGGCCGGGTCTTGGCCCTATGGGCAGCATGGCAGCGCCCCCTCTCCTGCCAGCCCCAGCCTGGCCAGAGCAGGGCACCCTGATGACGAAGGGACCTGGTACCCACCTGGTCACAGATGAGCTCCCACTTCTTCTCGTTGTCATACTGCCTCAGCAGCTGGACCTTGTCGGGGGGCAAGTTCATGCAGTTCTGGGGAGAGGAGGATAAGGCGAAGACCCTGAGCCTGGGGTCCCAACACAAGGGGGAGGGGAGCATGGGCATTTTCAGGGAACCCACCAGGAGCCAGCTCCCTAGTAGGTCTGTCATACACATGAATCCTCATCACCCTCTCACCCCAGGAGATAAGGAGCGTTAGCCAATGCGAAAACCGAGGCCCGGAGGGGGAGCACCTTTCCCCAGGCCTGACAGCTACACTGGGATTGGAATCCGAGTCAGCCTGACTCCAGGGCCCGGGCTCTGTCACCCCTACACCGCCTCAGTGGCACACCTGGCATGGAGGCAGAAGCCTGAGCTCTCAGCCTAACTTCCTGGGACCTCAGGCACTTCTGGACACGCTTCCCCAGGTGCAATAAGGCAGTATCATCTCTTCTCCCATTCGGGTGGGAAGCTAACAGGGGACCATCTCCAGCCAGGCCCAGGTGTGGCCAGGCATGGACTCCCCATGCCTCCCCATCCCCATGTGCCACCAGACACCACTGGGACAGTGTGCAGTCCCAGCCCAGGGCACCACTGACTCACAAACACCGGAAAACCTCTCGCAAGGACAGAAGACAGCAGCCTCCTTCCCCATCCCTCCCCATACCCCTCCCACCTCAGCACTCCTGGAAGGAAGGAGAAGGGGACAGGCCGAGGGAGCTGAGGTCAGACTGGCAGGGAGTTCCAGGCAAGTGCATCATGGCTCAGGGGCCAGGGGTATTCCCAGGGAACGTCACCCAGTCACAGGAACTGGGGAGGGCAGCCAGCATGCTGAGTCTGTGGTGCTGGTGGCCCAGGCTGGGACTCCCCTCAGGAGCTAAGAAAGGTCAGCATTGTTCTGCCTGGGTCCTCCTCCCCTAGCTGCAGAAGACAAGGGTGCGCTGTGCCTGTCAGGCGTCTCCCCCACCGCAGTGTGGGGTCCTGCCTGGGCTGGAGAATCACAGGGTTGCCAGCACTAGAGGCTCCCTGGACCCCCAGGACTTGTGTCTCCCTAACAGACCCAGAAGACGATGCCAGTGCCCCCCAATTCAGTAAACCCCAGGTTTGTTGAGGATCTACTATGTATCAGGCCCCAAAAGACAGTTCTTGCCCTCAAGGAGTTCCAAGTATCCCTGAGGATGTGGGAGGCCCAGGGAGCCCCAGCCCAGAGTCGAGGAGGCTCCTGTCACTAGCTCTGGTGGCTCTGACTGCACATCCTCAGGGTCACGTGACCCTGAGAGGAGCCACAGCTGGAGCAGAGAGGGGGCCACACCTACTCAAGGCTCCTCAGCCAACTTCCTCTCTGGGGTGCTGGGCCTGGTTCTGGGGCTCTGGCCAGACCTCGCCCCAAAAATCACTGCCTTAGGTCAGCCCCAGACAACAGGAAGCTGGGCGCTCTCGGCCCCCACTGCCCAAGCTTTCTGGCCGGGGCCCACTTGAGAGGTGAAACTGCCTGTCCACCAGGCCCCCCAGGCCAGCTGGGGATGGGGCTACGTCATTCCTCTCCCCATTGCGAAAGTGAGCCCAGATGGAGGAAACCGCTGCTGTCTCATCTGCCGCCCTCCCCCAGCCCACCAAGAGCCAGACAGCTCCTGCCACCTGGGAGGGACTGACCAGGGAGGGGCCTTGGAGCCCAGAGGAGGGTCCTACTGTGCCAGGGAGGCCTCCCTGGGGCCATTCTCTGTCTCTCTCTTTCACTCTTTTTCCCTGGTCCCTCCTGATCTACCCTTACCCCACAGAAACCCAGGGTGGGGCAGGGCCAAGGTGGTGGGGGCAAGGCTGAGGGGGAAGAAGGAAGCAGGGGAGAGGGCAGGCGGTGCCAGGGGAACTGGAGCTGGCGGGGGGGCAGCAGCACAGAGGAGGGAGGTGGTAGCAGGAGGAGGGGGCAGAAGAGTGAGGGGGATGGCTGAGCCCCAGCATCTGAGCCTTCCAGGGGACAGCCGCTTCCGACATGGGTCTTTCTGGGCCCTCACCCATCCAGAGGACCTGTTTGGTTTCTGGAATGGCCCCAGTGGCACTTCTAGAGGCAGCAACTAATGCTATAATGACCCCAGCATTTGCCAGCTGTGCCTGAATGCTTGCCGTGCCCGGCACTGCTCCGAGCCCTCCACCCTCACCACCGTGACTGGCACCGTCATGATTCCCATCTTACAGGTGCAGCACAGATTAGTCTGGTGACCTGCCCAAGGTTACAAAGCCAGTAAGAAGGGAACCAGGCTGGCTTTGAGCCCTAGTTGACTCTGACCCAGTGCCCTGGTCCACACCCCCAGCACGGCCCCATGTTTATTCCTGGGGAGGGGGAGGCCTCCACTGGGCCAGAGCACCTGTCTCGACGGTGGTGGAGGGCAGGGCGCCCCTTTGCCCCTTCCCCACCTGGGCCTCCTCAGGCCCCTGGGGCCTACATGCCAGCCTGCCAGACGGGCTAAATTTAGGCTCGGAAATCAGAAATAGCTCTGACAGCGCTGAGCACTAATTAGCAGCTGTTCCTCGGCTGTGCCCACCGAGGAGCCAGGCACCCTAGGGAGCGGGAGAGGGGCCAGCGGATGCCACTCACTCGGGGTAGGTTGAGGCCATCCTGGAAAACAACAACAGACCCCCGACCCAGGCCCTCAGCAAGGAGGCAGCACCAGGGGCCTGGGGGCTGGAAGACAAGTAGAAGGTTGGCTGCAGGGCTCAGAGGGGACAGGAAAGGACAGGCAAGTCCAGGTGTGTGTGGGGGACACCCACTGCCCTCCGGTGAGGGCAGAGGGGGGAGGCAGCTGTGACGTGAAGGACCCCGAGCTGGATTCAGGAGACCCAAGCTCTGGGCCCACCAGCCCTACAGCCTCTCCGCCTCCTCGAGCCTCAGCTTTCTCCTCCACAAAGTGGGCACACTTCCTCCCGCCTCTCAGACTCGCCGAGCTCCTGGGAACACCAGTGAGAAGCTGGGCTTTGCTGTAACAACACTCTTCAGTGATGCACCGCTATGAAGAGGCAGTTCACGGATTGAGGGGTGGGGGAATCCATCAACTCTCCAAAGCGAGGGATGGTGTGGGGGGCAGGAGTTTGTGAAAACGTGGGAGAAACAGACTTGTCTCCAAGGCTTGGCCAAAATGAACTCATCCTTCAGCCCCCTTTCCCTGCTGCCCTTGATGCTTCCGGTCAGAGGGAGAGGGAGACAGGATCCATCTTTTGGGGTATAGCCCAGAAAAGGGGCTGATACCCAGTCTTCCTTTACAGTGTATGGGATCATTCTCCTCCCTCCCTGCCCTACCTCTCTGGGTGCCAGAGGGGCCTCCAGCCTTGCTCACCCAAGACCAGCCCCTTGCGGGCTTATAACATGCACTGGCCGCCCCCCACCCACCAGTGCTGACATCTGGAGACTGAAGGGTTCCATCTACACCTGGACACAGCCACACCCTCCAGTTTCACTTTCACTTTGAGCTGAGACTATGTCCCAACCCACCAGCCCACCCTCTCCCCCTGAGGCCTGACCCTTTGAGCCCAGGATGCCCTCGAACTTGGGCACCAACCCCAGTCTCAGCCTAGCCCCACAGGGGCTCCTCAGCCTGATGGGCCTAGAAGCAGGCCCTGTCCCCCAGTCCCCACTTCCCCATCCATCTCCCCTCTGCCCACCTCTCTACGGCCTCAACCTTGGTTTTAGAGCTCTCAACGCATCGCCAAAAACAATCAATTTTATCCACTTTAAAAAACTCCTGTATATAGATTTTCTGGGGTTCTTATAAGCAATCCCAAGGCTAGAGGAGGGCTGTGGGGTAACCTGGCCCTAGGATCAGGTGCTGAGAACCCCAAAAAGCTAATATTCTCCCATCGGGGTTCAAGGGTCCCCAAGGCAGGACAAGGGCAAGCAGAGTGGGAGCCAGGGCAGCAGGCACTGCCCATACAGTCCAGGCCAGTAGAACAACAACAACAATAATAATAATCAATACTCCCAAAACACTCACTCTGTGCTGGGTGCCATGCTAAGTGCTTTCTATCTATTAACTCATTTAAACCTCAACAACAAGCCTACAAGCAGATACTATCACAATCCCCATTTCACAAATGGGAAACTGAGGCACAGAGCGATTAAGTCGCTTTGCCCAAGGTGACCTAGCTGGCAAGCTGGTAGGAAGACTCAGTTTCCTGGGAGGAAGGAGCATTGAGGGCAATGGGGAGTGTGGGTGCTGGCCCCCAGGGGTCTTCTGCAGACAGCCTGGCCCCCGGCCCCCATCTGAGGAACCAGTAACAGCCAGCCCCATTTCCTGCCACCCAGCACCCTACGCTTCCTGTTGTTGCCCACACCGAGCTCTTACTCACTGGGGAACCCCCCCCCCAGCACACCCTGTCTCAGAGGGAAGTGGAGGCCTCCCCATGTGTACACAGCTACCGTTAGCACCCTGCTGCCCCACCCTCCGGGAGAGGTGGGCCCTCCCTCTCGCGGTTTCCGGCCACCAGGCAGTCTTCAGTCTAGGCCCCACTGTCGCTGACCTGCATGATGGCAGGGAGGGCAGCCTGACCCGCGATGACTAAAGACAGTCACCTTGGTTGGTCTTGGTAATGGAGGCGGGAAGGGGAGAGGCAGGGTCTGGGCTCCCTCACTTGGAAGGGCTCCCAGACGGAGACGACCAGATCAGCTCTAACGTCATCCCCTTCCTCACAGTGGAGAGTGTTCACTGAGCCCTTGCTCTGTCAGGCATTGTGCGAAACACTCCATTTAATCCCCTCAACAATCCCAGGAGGCCGGCATATACCATTATTATTTTCTTTTCACATATGAGGAAAATGGAAGCTCAGAGAGGTTAAGTAACTTGCTCAAGGTCACACAGGTAGTAAGTGGCAAAGACAAAATTCAACCCCCAAACTTCATGACCCCAAAGCCCAGGAAGCTACTCTGCCCTTCCCGTGAGTAACCCCTGCCCCTCTCAGAGGCCCGAGTCCCCTTGCCCTTCCTTTCCAGGGCTCCACATTCCCAGGAAAAATGAAGAGGTGGCCCCAAGAGCAGCCCCACCTGCTCCTGCCCATCTCACCCAGCTCTTTGCCAAATGGCCCCAGATGTCACTGTGAATCATGCCTACCACATCCCTGGGTTTCCAGGGTCAGCATGTGCCAGCCCTTCGGGCTGGGAATGTCACCCCTCAGCCTCTGCCCAGCCCAACATCTGACCACATGGCCACGACCCCACTGAGATCCTCCGTGTCAGACACCCCAGAGATGGGAGTCACAGGGCCTGAGCGACCCCACAGCTACATGTCCCCAAACTTCATCTGCCCCACCCCAGAGGAGGGAGCTGGTGAAGGAGGCAGCGCCCTGGTCACAGGCCGACAGAATGGAGACCTCCACCTCTGTTCTTCCCCACCAGCCCAAGGGGAGGGGGCCAGCTGAAAGCAGGACCCCAGAGTCCACACCCTACTTGGAGCTGCCCTGACATCCCCATACAGCCTGGCCAAGTGCCCATGTCTCTGGGCACATGCTAAGGGCACCCAGGGTGCTAGGCCCCATCCTCTCCAGGTGCTTCAGCCTGCTCTTGGATGCCAGCATCACCCCCGGCCTCAAGCACAGCATCCCTGGCACTTCCCTCGATCCCTCTGCCCCAGGGTTATAGGCTCCTCCCTGCCCAGACAGATCACGGGTACCCTACACCCAGCTGCCCAGCCGTCAGCACGGAACTTCTGGCAGGCCTGGAAAGGGTGCCTTGCCATCCCCATCCCTGACCCTCACAGGAGAAGGCCTGAAGGGGCTGGAAAACACCTTGGGCATGGCGTAGGAGGGGCGAGAGAGTGGAGCCGGCTAGCTGGTTTTCCCACCATTGCAGCAGGACCAAGTCGCTGGGCAGCCACCGCTCCTCCGCTGTTGCTAAGGCAGCAGCGGAAACCCTGGCTCAACCTGCTCTTTCTCCCACCCCCGTTATAAGCAGGGGCAACCCCCCTCTTTCACAGCCTCCTTAGAAAAGTAGCCCCCCACCACCCACCCTTGCATGGGAGAAAGTCTGCCCATGGGGCAAGGGGGAGCAAGCTCCAGCTCCTCTCTGCGGGCCTTGGTGGGGGCACCCACAGCCAGGAGCCAAGGAGTGGTTTTGAGTCTCAGGATCCTACTCCCCACCATGGAGGTGAAAGGAAGAGGTTCCCTGGGGCCATGTCACTAGACCCCAAGGGCAGGGCTGGGCTTCTCTGGTGGTGGTGGGCCCATCGCTCTCAGCAGCCAGAGGGTCTCTCCTCTCAGACGTTCACTAAGGACAGGACGCACGCAGCTCTGGCCACGGAGGCAGCACCCAGATGGAGGCGCACCCTGCAATACCTGTTGCCAGGCCTGTGGGTTTAGCCAAATCTTTAGCCCTGGGTGGCCTCAGGCAGGGGCCAAGGCTGTCATCCCCAGGGCGGGGCTCATGCCCCTGCTGGGGGAACTGACAGGAGCCAGATTCTTAGCCAAGTGACCTTGGACTGGGTGCATTCTGCCCATACAGGACAAGGGATGGGCTGATCCCTCCCCAGGAAGAAGGTGAAATGTAAAACACACTGGGGTTCCTGGCAGCTGAGGAGTGGGGGTGAGCCCCAGCGGGCGCTGCTGCCCTAGATTCTACACAGCCACCACCGCTTTCTCCACCAGGACATCCGCTAAGACCCATCTCTGGGCCTCCACCCTCCACGCCCAGGTTCTTAGGGACTCCCAGTGGCATTTAGTGTCAGACTCAGCCAATCAGAGCTCAGGCCAATCAGCAGGGCAATCAAGTCCTACACACACATCAGAACCTCACCATTTGACTTTTGGATTTTCCACTGGTCTGAATTATTCACACAGCTCGTCCCCATTAGTGTGTGTATAACAGAGCACTGACTGGGGCCTGTCCCTCCCCCACCCATAGACACACACTATGGGGGAAAGACAGACCCATGTCCCCTCAATCAGGCTAGCAGGGGTCCAGGAATCCACCACCAACTCAGGCTCCCCAGATGGCCCCCAGAGACTGTCTCTCCTCATTCTCCCCCTCCCCCATCTGCTCAGCTCAGCTCAGCTTTGCCAGGCCATGGGTTTGGAGAAGGGAGAGCAGGTGGACAGATAGGGTGATCAGGGCCTAGCCTGGTGTGAAGTGTCCCTCAGAGTCCCTTCCTCTCCCCTAATTAAGCAAGGTGCCTTCACAAGGATAGACCAGACCCCACCCCACCCCATAGCTCCTCCAAACCCCTCCTAGCCTGTCTCCTGGGAGGGGGCAGCAGCCAAGATTTCCAGGAACCATTAGGAGGGGCCATGCAGAGGATCTGGCAAATATGGCCTAATGACTAGCCACAGGAGGGGAAATGATGTCAAGGAGGTGGAGGAGACGAAGAGTTGAGCACCACCACGAGCCAACATTGCTCTGCTGCCTGTGCCTCCCTCGGGTCCCCACCCTCAGACCTGCAGTACCAGCCTGCTCAGCCCGGGGAGTGCCTCTGGGAAAAAGCACATCCTCATTCGCCTGTCACCCAGTGTCCAGCAAGGGAGCTGACAGCAGACAGACCACCAGGCAATTAGTTAGAGAAGGGAGCCTGGGACAGGGCTGAGGTAGGGAGAGGGAAGTGAGAACGAGTGGCCCTTCCCCCTCCGGACTTGGGCCTCCCACCAGGTCTTAGGGAGTTCTGACTCTGCTCTGGAGCCTCCACCCATCAACACATCCTGACTGCCTCCAGGCTCAGCATGAAGCTGATGGCTCCCTCCCCAGTGGCCTAGTCCCCAAGCCCCCCAATTCCTGGGAACAGGTGACAGTAAGGAGAGGGGGCTTCCAGACTTTTGCTCCACCCCAAGCCAGAGTGACCAACCCACCCTGACCCCGCCCTTCCTAACCTAACAGCTTCAGTGGACAGGAGGGGATGCTCAAGATAAAGACCCAAGGGCAGCCTCTCCTGGACACACAGGGGGTGAGAAACAGACACCCCCTCTGCATGGTCTGACAACGCAGTTCCCAACAGCCCAGGCACCAACAAATCAGGACCAAACACCTCAACTCAGTCTCCAGCTCCCTGGTGGTTAAAGTGTAACCCCTTCCATCTTTGACCCTAAGATACAAGCAGATGCTCCAGATCCGCACCCGGTCGCTGGGCCTGTGACCAGTGAGGAAGGGGGTGCCGCGGGGACCCTCCTTGCCTGCTCAGCTCCCAACTTCCTCACAGGACGTTTTTGTTTAGCCCTTTAGACCCAGAAGCGCTAGGAGGGGGGTGTCTTGGGGAGGGAGACTGGGCGATTGCAGAAGAAAGTTTTGGGGGGAGAGTGCTAAGTCACTCTAAAAGAAGCCACTGTTACTCCCACCCCAAGGAGGGGCAGCCACTGGGCCGGGGATCTCCAAGCGGTACCTGAGCCCCCGGGGGCGGGGCGGGGACGCGTGCCGAGCCCCTGCCGCCCCCCGCTCTGCGCGCGGCGGGTCACACTCACCAGGACCCGGTTAAACCTCTCCTCCAGCTCTCCGACCGCGGGCATCGGCTGCTTGGGCGGCGCGGGCTGCTTGGGGGACAGTGCGGCGGGGCTCGCAGGCTGCTCCGCGCTGCCGGCCGCGTTGCCCATGGTGGTCCCCACCCAGCCGGCCAGGCGCCTCCAGCCTCGGAAATCCAGCTTTCCGGGGGACGGGGGCGAGGCTCCCGGCCTGGGGGGCCAGGCGGGCAGCGGCTGGCGGCGGCGGCGGGCTCGGAGGCGGCGGCGGCGGGCTCGGAGGCGGCGGCGGCGGGCTCGGAGGCGGCGGCGGCGGGCTCGGCGACGCGGGAGCTCGGCTCAGCGGCGCCCAGGGGCCGGGGCGCGGCGTCCCATCGGGTGGCCCCGTCCGAGGAGCCGGGCGGCGAGCTGCGGGGTGGGGGGAGGAAGTCAGGCTGCAGGCCGCCGAGGCCAGAGGGCTGGGCCGGGGGCAGGAAGCTGCGGCGCGGGCTCCCCCCTCGGCGATTTTCTAACTTCTGCTGTCGCTCCCCGTGCGCGCAAACCGCATTTCGCCGCCGCCGCCGCTACGCACCCAGCCCCAGGGGGGCGGGCTGGAGGGAGGGGGCGGGCGTCAGGCGCGGGCCCGGGGTCCGCCGGGGCCATGGCGAGGTGGGGAGAGGGCCGCCGAGCCGCTTCACCTGCCGCAGAGGGGGCGGCTAGCGCCGCTTCACCTGCCGGAGCGGGAGGCGACCTAGGAGAGGCAGAGGCGGCGGCGCGCTCGGCGGCGCCTCCGGGTCCTAGAACCGCATGCTCTCGCTCTCTCGGATTCGGGGAACTGGCGGGGTATGGGTGAAGGGGGTCACGGCCTGGGGGCCCGAGGGGAAGACCTTGGAGTCGGGGATTGTCAGCAACTGCGAGCGCGGCTTGGAGACACCTGACGGTGCAGCGTTGGGGCGCAAAGACTGCGTCTGCCTCTAGGGTTCCCGACTGAGGTGGGAACCCCCTTCCAGGCCCCCCACTCCTTGTTTCTCTCCTTCCCTGTTTAGCCCAGAGCCTAGCTGAGGACCAGGGGGAACCATCTGCAAATGAGAACCCCAAAGCAGGGCGGGGGGCGCAGACCCAGGCCAGCGGAGACCCCCGCGACCCGTCCCACTCTGGACCAACTCAACGCCTGTGCCGGCATCTCCAGTGGTTTTAGATTGGGGGCCCCTACGGAAAAAAGCAGGCTGTGAGAATCTGGGGACCACCAAGGTGGTCTTGAGGAGAAGCGCGGGGGCTGGGGAACGGCAGATTAAAGCCAGCATCCAGGCTGGGAAAGGAGCAGGCACCGCAGAGGGGAAACATATCTCCTTGACGCTGTCACCTCCAGGGATCTAGGGTGGCCTCTCGCCTTGGAGAATAACAATCGCTGATGTCTGGCAATTACAGCAGTATTTCCAGAGATCTTCCTACATTCATCCTGACAATGACCAGGAAAGGTACGTATTGATATCCTCATTTTAGAGATGAGGAAACTGAGACTCAGAGTGGTTAAGTGACTTGTGCAGGGGCATACGGCTAATAAAGGGCAGAAACAGGCCTCCTTTCTGTCTACCTCCAAAATCTACACTGCCTCGGAGCTGCTGTCCTGACCTCCCCAGCCCCTCTCATCTAGAGTGGACAAGAGGACAAGAGAGTATTGGGGCGTGTAGAACCCCAGGTCTGGGCACTGTCTCCAACCTGAATTTGAGGCCCTTCTCTTTAAGTTGCTCCTCTCATTCCCTATTTAATTTGGGAGATCCCCAATTGCCCCTCTCTGCACTACCAAGGCATTGAGGAGGGAGGGTCCCCTAAATGAGCCCTGGATTTTCCCTAGGTCAGGCCAGGGGCCATGTGTCCCACTCCCCCATAGCTTCCTCTTTCTTCTGCCTTCCTCAAATTCAGAACCACTGAGGAGAGTTTAAGCAGGAGCTGGGAAGTTTATCTGATTCTAAGGAAGGCCCTGGGATGAGCCAGCCCTTCCCCTAGGCTGACCTGATTTAAATCTTTCTTCTGCCAAGGTCACCAGCACCTCTGGTGGGTGAGGGACGTAGTCACTTATTTCTTGTCCCAGCCAGGGGCCCGTAAGGTGAGACAAAGCAGGATTTTCCTTGGGCGTGCTAAGAAGGTGGTCCATTCCGTGCCCACTGCCCTCACCTCCAGCCTAACAGACCAGTCTTGCCCTTGAGGTCTTCCCCTTGAGATTAGCTAGGATCTCTCTCTCTCTCTCTCTTTTTTTTTTTTTTTTTTAAAGAATTTAGTCCCTGATCCCCTCAGTGGCTCTTTCCATTTAACAACAAACCTTTGCTTAGCCTCAGCTGTGTGCCCAGGACTGTGCTCACTCCTGGAGATTCTGTGGCAGATGAAAAGCTCACTGTCCTTGGGTTGCTCACAGCCTACTAAGGGGCAGACTCTGAACACATCTGGGAGAGTGGCTGCTGCCAGTGAGCCTGTAGTGCCAGGTGTTCATGCTTCCTCTTGCTCAGAAGTACTTCTTTGAGCAGGTAGGAGAAAGGTGGGCGTTATGCCCCTGAAAATCAGAGTGGGGTGGGGAGCCCCTAATGCAGTCATTGCCAGCTTGTGCCCTCCATCCCTGGGGGTGCTCAGGCCATTGCTGACCACCACCCACCCAAGGCGCAGTGGAAATAAGGCTGGGCTAAGTAGAACCTCTTTTGTGGAAAATGATCAGCTCAGCCAATCTACATTATCTCTCTGTGGTGCTGATCAGAACTGTGAGGTACCAAAAAAAAGGCAGAAAAATTAATCAATTATTACCTAATAAATGTGGCTGGCTTGCCAGGAAGTATCTTTCCAATTATGGTCCACAGAGGAAAAAATCCTAGAAGGGATGCTTGGTGAAGTTTGGAACCAATGCTTTGATAGGTCTGTGCTTCCCCCTGCTGGGCACAGGAGGTATGACAGCCAAGATAGGGCGAGGCCTCCAGTGGTGATGGAAATAGAGTCACAGTGTGGGTGACACTTTTGGACTGTTGTCGCCTTGTCATCTCCGATGGAAGGATTATGCAGTCACTGGGGACACTCAGAGCTCAGGGGACTGAGAAGGTTTCCCCAGAAATTTCCTCCCTCCCCCTCCCTGCTCACCATTACTCAGTTGGTTCTTCTTTTAAAATATAAAAAAAAGGTAATACATGTACACAGATTAAAATAAAAACAGTTTTGATGTATCTTTCCAGAGATATTTTGGGAATATACAAACAGTGTGTGTTTGACACAAATGATAGCACACGCTCCCCACTGTTTGGCACCTTGCTATTTTCACTTAATAATATATCTGCCACTACAAAGTCTATATAGTCTTCCATCATACGGGTGTGTCTCAATTTATTTCACTATTTCCCTTCCTCATGGATATCTAGGTCATGTCAGCCTTTTGTTACTACAAACTATGCTGCCTGCAGGAAATATCTTGGTACATATATTTGTTTGTACTTATGTGTATGTCTGTAAGACAAATTTATAAATATGACGTTGCTGGGTCAAAGGTTATGCACTTTTAAATTTTGGATAGGTTTTCATGGAATTGTTCTCCAAAAAGCTTGCACCAATTTACAACCCCCAGCAATGGATGAGATTGCCTGTTTCCCCACATCCTCACTAACAGAGGGCATTATCAGACCTTTTGATCTTTGGCAAGGCCTCTTTGAAAGTCTTTATGACAAGGCAGGTGATGATCTGTCTCTTTCTTTCACCAAGGCAGAGACTGTGTCTTTTCCATCCCTGTATCTCCAACACAGGACTTAAATATTGAGTGAAAGAAAACAGCACTGCCTTTTGGCAGGCCTGGAGGGAGGGGATAGATGGTTAGGTTTGAGTAGGAAGCCTGACCTTAAAGGCCACTTTCATTTCCTAGCCCTAGTCAAGCCTCTGCCCCAAACCCAAAAGCTTCCCTCTTCAGGAGCCTGCCAGGGCAGCTCTCACTCAGCTCTCCTGAATCTCAGGGATGGGCCTCATCATCACCGAACTGCCCACAGACCAGAAATAAACCAGGTGTTCAGCTATAGGGGATTGGTTAAACCAGCAATCCAATCAATAGAACTTTCTGTGATGACGGAAATGTTCTCCATCTGTGCTGTCCAATATGGTAGCCCCTAGCCACACTATAGCTACTAAACACTCAAAATGTGGCTAGTGCAACTGAAGAAATGAATTTCAAATTTTACTTAATTGTAATTAAGTTCAATGTAAATAGCCACGTGTGGCTACTATATTGGACAATGAAGGGTTAAATGGACTATGGTATCTCCCCACAATGGAAAACTATGCAGCTGTAAAAAAAAAAAAAAATGAGGATGCCAGGTACTGATATGGAAAGATCGCCAGGATATATTTTGAAGCAAAAATATGGTACAGAACAGTATATATAGTATGTTTTTTTGTGTGTAAGAAAGGAAGGTGGAAACAAGAATAAATGTCTGTATTTGCTTGAATTCGCATAGGAAAGTAATAAAAGTGGTCACATATAAGGTACTGGGGAAACAGTGGACAAGGCAGAGGTGGGAGCAAGAATTCTCAATGCATTTTTTTCTATACCATTTTGATTTTTGAACCATATGCATTTATTATTTGTTCAAAAAGTTAAAGGAAAATAAAAGCAAGTTGCTCACTGTCTACCAAGGAGGGCTTCTCTGTCCCTCTTGTTGGCAACTTGTGGTAGATGAGGGAAGTAGCCCCACTACACTTCCTTTCTATGGCACCCACCAGAGGACAGCCCATGGGAGTGGGATGGACCACGCCTCGTGAGCCACAGCCCAGGTGACACAGGTTCCCAGACCTGGCCGTGCATCAGAATCAGAATCCCGAGGGGGTGGGGTCAGGGATCTGTGCCTTTTGTGATCCCCCAGGTAACTCTCAGGCAGACACTGAACTATTCTTGCCAACACCTCCCAGTGAAGAGAGGACAAGCTCCGAGGACCGGGCACATGTCCTTCCCTATAGACAGCATGGTCACTGACATCTCCCGAGCACCAGCACTGTGACAGGCACAGAGGCAAGAGCTTTGCACGTTTCCTTCCAAGCTGGACAGCAGCCTTGCAAGGCAGACTGCATCACAGTGCTCTCTGAGTTCAGTGTCCTCTTGAGTGGCTGATTTACTCAAGGTCACACAGCTGGCAGATGTCAGAGCTAGGATCCAAACCCTGTCGTAAACCCCCTGAGCTACAGTTTTCTCATTCTGAAAAAATGGTGATAGGATTTCATAGAATTGTTTTGAATAT